TTTATCCTAATCACTTTGACTTAGTTTTCTTATTCTTTTTATTCTACTTTTATTTTATTTTAGTTTCTTAAATGGTATGGCATTCAATACTAGGTGAGAGAGAAACTGTATTTTGATCTTCTGTATGTCCTGCACATATAGTGTATTGACAATAAAATTTTTGATCCTTAATGAGTCGTGAGCAGCACATTTTACAGGCCAAAACTAAACTAGTTAGTGCTCTGGTTCTGAATGACCTCAAACATGTCTCTGGCTTTTCCGTTCTGACATTATTCTTTTTTATGACTCAAGAGGATACTGATTTATCTCTGTGATGAGCTTCAGTCAGTTGATTGCACAGTTCTTTTTTTTTTTTATTTTGTGTAATTTGGATGAACTGACCCTTAAATTTTCCTGAAAATTAGGGCTCTGTGGAAGAAGGGCTGCAGTTCTCAAACTGTGGTGTTGATTTGTTCACTGTCAGATTTAAAGTCGAGAATCAGAACTTGAACCTCAGTCACTACTGCCAAACCCAGTGTATTAGAGAACAGAACCAAGTGAACAAAGACTGTCGCTGTCTGAATTTTTTATAAATACTTTGTTCACTCCTGTGCACTGCATGTTACTGAAACACATGCACAGTGATGGATCCTCTGCTGGTTCTCTGTGGCTGATGTTTACAGGGATGGGAGTCGACTGTGGAAAGAACCGCTGAGTTTTATTCCATCTTTGATCATCAGCTGTTTACTTGTTTGTTAAACCCCCCGCTCCCCTCGGTGCCCATCCTCAGAGATCTGACTGTGTGTGCAGGCAGTTGCATCAACAGCAACGTTTCTGTATCATCAGGTTCTATTGCACACAGATCTTGAGTTCTGTTCTTATTAGAGGAAGCTCATATGTTATGAATTAGCTCTAATTCTGGGTCAAAAGCTCAGCATGTTATTAGACACATTAGTGCAAGTTATCGCACTTCAGTTTATCATGTCTTATAACTTACATCAGTGAGTGAAACAGTCATTTGTCATTTGGAGAGAGACCACCTCAGGAAAACAGGTGGCAGGTCTAGAATTAGTGAAATACAGTGGGAGCGTCTTGGCACAGCAGGAGGAATCACATGGCCCATAGAATAAATGACTAGTGGCAGAAATCAAACTAGTGCAGACCCCCCTCCCCCAGGCCGCCTTTGTCTCTGCAGGGAGAGAGGTGGGGAGGAGAACTGTTGTAGGTGGACGGGTTGACGTGATTAACGCTGATGCTTTGTGTTTAGCATGTTGCATAATCATAAAGGGGATTGGCCTGTAACAAACACTAAGTTTAGATGTCTCGGATGAGGCAGACGTATTCCTGACAGACAGCATGTCTTTATTTTTACCTGTTAAACACTGTGACACATGCAGGCTGCACCAGAAATGCATGTTTTTCGTGACTATTTTGTGGTGGTAGAGGTCTGCGCTTCTCACAGTAAATATGACATATGACAGTATTTCTACATAGAAGTCTGTAGAAGCGTCCAGTGATTTAATTTACTGCAGATGTCTCTGTTTCCTCCCTCCCCCTCTTCTCTCGTCCCTACTCAGGAAGCCTGGTGCTACACTGGAGCCTCCGCCTTCAGAGCTTCTCTCCTCTGGATCTTATGGCTGAAATGGTACGTAGGCTCAGACAAAGGATGAGAATATAACTGAAACTGAGGGGGATGAACAGACGTGAAGAGAGCGATGTGCCTGAGCATGTGTGGCCCTTTTTTTTTTTTCTCAAGTGTCACCTCAAGCTGGGCTGCTTGAGGCTTAGACAGGATACAGGGCTGAAAAGAAAGGTGTCTTTTTATAAAGAAACTTTGCTGCTGTAGCAGCAAGAAAGCACACCTCTCGCCTCTGGATTACTTTGACCCTGTAAAGGTCAGGGACCATGAAGACGGGGGAATAAAATCGATGGCTCATGTTAAATTCTCAACTTCAGTTGAGAAAATCTTTGCAGATAAAGTTACCAGAGGAGCAGGAGGTCTGTTTTTGGTTTGAGAATCAAACTCCTGAAAAATCTAAATCCATCTTCATATTGATGTAAAATCCTTTAAATCTGATAAAGACATTTTCATTCACATATAACATCACCTGCAGCCAGACATATTACAGAGAAAAGTACCAGCTAATATTGGTTTTGCTCTGTATGTGCATGAATAATGGCTGAGGTTAAGGTGCTGCCTCTCTTAGTCTAGACTCTGAGTCTAATTGTACAGTTCAGAAATTTTAATCAAGTCCTATTTGATGTTTGGTGTCGACTCCTTTACAGCCACTGACTGAAGTGTCCCAGAGACAGTGGCAGACATGGACTACTCGATGGCCAAAATTATGTGGACACTTCTGTCCAGCAAATGAGCACATGGGTGACTCAGCCAGTAAACAAAGCTGGACTGTTTGGCCCTAAAAACAAACCACTGACTTGTCTGCGTGTTGGATTATTGTCCTGCTGCATAAAAAGAACATAGGCACTGTTCATCCAGTCTGGATATAAACACCCTTGATGACAGTCGGTGGGTCTCATGCAGGAACAGTTTGGTCTTATGCCAAATCTCTGACATTTTCCTGGTTGACAGTGAGCTGTTGTACCTGGGAGAATCTTCCAGATCTGATAATATGGGTGAATGCCACAAGTTCTCATAAATATACAATGGCTCATGTCACCTGGGAACAAATCGGGCTCAGTGTTTAATGCAGAATGTGCTGGAGAAGAGTCAAAATAATGAAAACATGTCAGAAGGTTGTGAAGAGCTTCTGAAAGACGTAGTTGTTCACTGTGTGTAAAGCTCCTCGGTGTGCACGCATATACAGCTCAACTCCACTTGCCCTCAGTCCAAATGTTATAACAATAATGAGTCATTTCTGATTTTCATCTGCCTTTCTGGGCAATAAAAGGGGTGGAACCGGCTGGTGGGTTAGACGCAGTTTGTGACTGATAGAAACATTTTTGTTTTGTTCATTTTTTTTGCTTAGTGCGGCAGTGACATAGCTCACTTTGTGCATCTCATCATAAATGAGAATGTACCAAGCCTTTAGGTTGGAGTAGTATGATTTGATGGTCTTTATATCACATTATCCAGCCCATCTCCCCAGCCCTGTGGTTGCCACAGTGTGTTTGTTCCTGCAGCTCTGTGTGTGTGTGTGTGCGTGCAGTAGAGTGTTTATTCTCTGTGTTCATCTCACAGTCCTTAAGCCTGTGTCATTTATCTCATGCAGTTCCATTGATTGTGCCCGTTGCTCTGCCTGGCAGTGATTGGACCCTATTCTCCCCACTGTTCCCAGCAGCAGCAGAAAGGCAGCACTTTAACATGTTCTGGAGCCGTATCTCAGTGTTGCCATGGGATGTGTGATAAGAGAGGTTTCCTGTTGTAGCGGTTTCATTTAGAAAATTATGAGTTGTTTTTCTCTTTAAATTAGCCTCATTCAGTCTGGACCCAGATGGCTGCTAATACAAGGGACACAAAGCCTGTTAGGCAGATGACAATATGACTGCTTAGAGATAAAGACTCAGCAATAAAAACCCACTGAAGGTCTGGGAGTGTGGGGGGGCTCAAGTTCTTGAGTGAGCAAATAAGTTAAGGGAGTGAATTTGGCAAAGAAAAGAGAGCGAGGGCCGAAGTTCTAGGCAGAGCAGAGAATAACTCGCAGGGAGATGCAGAGAGAAAGTGAAGGGACCGGTTCTGAGTCACGGTTGTCTGGGCCCAGAGGATCACTGCTGTTCACATTGCAGCTGTTGCACTTCCAGGTTAGGTGGCTAAAATGAAAAGCAGCACGACTCAGAGACATGACAGGATAGCCTAGAACCAAGATGAGAAGCTTTAAGAGAAAGTCAACAGTGTCTCTGCTCACTGCCTCCAAACTTTGCCCTGAGCCCTTGTCACGTTTTCTCATGAGGCCGGTCTGCTTACAGCCTGTAGCAGTGACGGTGCAGTGTTGCCTTAGTGCAGCTAAAAGTTGTATGCCACAGGCTGAATTGTTTGTTGTAAATTGCACTTGATTTTCATGCCAGAGATCATATTTCACTTCCTCTGGACAGTCTACAATGGGGCCCAGAGGCAGAGATGCTGGCACGCTGACCATCCCTATGGCAGCGGCCACTTTTGGCTGTTGACGACTTTCAGGTGTTGGGAGGGTGAGGACTTGACTGGGGTCCTTACAACTCTTATAACAGCAAGTCAGAAGATCGTGGAAGCCCTCGGCCTCACCAGTGGCCCGGTGCGTGGAGGACAGGAGGTAGTACAACATGCTAACTAGTGTCGGTTCTCCACAGGTTAGGTGATGATAGAATAATTACTATGATAAGAAAAGAGCAGGACTCCCTCTTTAACTGAAGAATCCCTCAGAGTCTGTGTGGCCACAGGATCTGATTGAACTGATCTTAACCCTAAGGAGATGAAGACAGTGCTAAGTATTAAGTTTCATGCAGCTGCAAATACACAAAAATCTGTAATGATGTTTAAAAAAAAAAGTGGAACTGGTCTTGAAAAAGAACAGAGATGTGCTTCTCCTGCTGATGTGAAACACAGTCCTGTTTCTCTTTGAGTAGCATCTTTTGAATATTGAGTTTCTTGATGAGCTAGATAAGCGAGAATACCCAGTGTGTTGTTGAAAGGTCATTTCACTTAGCTGTGCTGTTTGTTAGTACATCCCACACAGCAATGAACTCTTTATTGATTGTTTTAACCTTAAGGAAACGTAGGTTTACCTGCTGTTTCTCATCAGGTAACTTTGTTTTGTCCTCATTTACATTTCCTTCATTTTCATTTTATGATTACATTAGTTTCAGTCAAGGCTCACTTGTATCTAGAAAAGATGAAAATCCAATGAAATGGATTTATTCACGTTTTTTTTCCAAGGAACTAAAAACTCAAATCAATTAATTGACAAAATCAGGAACAATTTTAATTATCAATAAGCATTTTGCTGTTTTCTGACATTTTATAGACCAAGCGATTAATCAGTTAATTGAAAACACAACCAGTAGATTAATCAATAATGAAAACAATTGTTAGTTGCAGTCTTATTAATTAGTATCATCTGCTGGTGTGTACTCTACTGTTGCCAGAAGCAGCGTGCACACAAACCCACTTTTACCACACACAGGCTGTATGAATAATTCATAATCTATATGTTCCTGTATCTCTGTGTGAAGGATTGCGCTGTGGTTGGCCTTTAGCTTTTTCTCAGGGAAAAGGTCAGTGAGCGGGATGGTTCACAAACTGAGAGGAAACCCGTCGTCTCCTCTTCCACATGATGCTTGGGTAAAGTTCGGCACTGTTTCTTTTTGAAGGAGGAAGTTGTTATTCAGTGTCTAACGGTGTAAACGTTCATCGGTCATTATCTGCTTTCATATTTAATGAAACTGTTTCTAAGAAGAGTAATGTTTTCTAGGCAACACCCGTGGTCACTGGTGGCAGCAAGTTTGCTTTACTAGTATGGAGGTCTGTTGGAAGTAATGTGAGTCCACCAGTGAGGGCAGCACACACACCTGCAGCCGCTGCTGTGCCAGAAACCAGCAGCTGCTGTCTCTGTTTCCAGTGCAGCAAATCAAACTGTGAGATAAGACGATTCACTGCATCAGGATGTTTTTATAAAGAATAAAGTCCACTACGCTGTAAGGGAGTAGCCGACCCCCCGTTGAACGTATGGAGGGAGAACTCATCCGCACAATAGTGGCACAGACGGGAGTTGTTTACCTTGGTGGTGTGTTCCAGTTGTGCTGCTTGTCACAAACTCACTGGAGCTGCAGCTTGTTTCACGGACAAAAATGTCTTGATGTGAACCACTGGTGCAAACAGCAGTGACAAACACACTGCATGTCCTGTGGCTGCTTCACAACAAAAGCCACCCTGTTACGAACAGTAATGGTGTGTGTGTACACTGTTTACAGTGAAGTCCCTGTGTGTGTGTGTGTGTGTGTGTGAGAGAGACACAGTAACTTGAATCCCACGTGGGCACGGTGGACTTTGCTATTAGCAATAAAACTGTAAAAGCTTTAAGTCTTGTAACTTTGAAGTGAGCATAAAATTATATTTGTGTAATATCAGCTAATATGGTGTAGATTTCCTTGTTCGTGTGGTCAACCAGAAAGGACAGCAGGCTGCTAAAAGCATCTGTAACTGCAGAGCGAAACATATGAAGCCACTCATTAAAAAGTGGCACTGAGTGCTGAAAGGGGCCAGAAAATGAGCCGAAGGTCCTTAAAGAAGCCAATTAGCCCTAATAGGCTACAGTTTCTGGCAACCCGAGGGAGAGGCTGGAGTACACTTTTACTGTATGTGTGTCCCATTTGTTCTCACTTCTGGTCCCTACTCATTGACATAGTACAAAAATGTACACATAACTGCATGCACCCACACTATTTTGTTGTGCCCAGATTTCTACCTCTGGGAGATGCTTGATTGGTCCCCGGTGTCCGTGCTGACAGTTATTGATCGGGGAATAATGGCTGCCCCCGCCTCTCAGTCCAGAGGACTCATTCTGCTGCGGCTCTTATTCAAGCTAATTCTAGCAGGGGAAGCGAGGGAGGAGGACGAGGAGGGACAAAACCAGAGGCTCCTCAGTGTCTCAGGAGGTCCATGTTTGATTTGAGAGGAGTTGGTGTTTATACCGGGTGCCTCTCTGGTCCTTT